GCCTTAGGGCATGTATAAAGAAGTATCCAACGTCGCGGGGGGGGGGGTGGTGGTTACGGTATCGGATCGGGAGATGCGCTGAAATACCGTCGCTTTGCGCGGGGGGGGAGGGAGGAGAGAGAAAAAGCATATGGAAAGCAACAAGGGGGAGTCGTGATTTTGTCGAGGATAAACTGTATCCACGTGTGTATTATCAGAAGCCCTTTCTCTCCCTCTTTCCGACTCGTGCAATCGCCCCTCCCGCTCTCTCACCCCCTCCTCATCTTATGTCTTTGAAGTGGTATAATGAAAAGCCATTTCTTTCCCTCTTTCCGATATGTACTACCCCCCTCCCCTTCCGCTCGCTCTCTCACCCTCCATTTTTGACCGTCCTCGTATGCAATAGAGACATCCTGCTTTCCACCAAGCGCACGTCGAGCGGCGGGGACGTCTGGGTCTGCGTCGACCGCCTCTGCGGGATGAGCCGCGAGCTGGTGGTCGTCTGCCCGGCGACTAACGAGGCCGACCCCCTCCACATCTCCGCGGAGTTCGAGATCGACAACAGCAGCGACAGCTTCGGGCTCAACCTCAGGAGGAAGAGGGAAGGGGGGGCGGCGCTGCCGTCCCCCCTGCCGCCGCCGCCGTTCGCGTTGTCGTCGCTGCCGTCCCTCCTGTCGCCGGGTGCGGCGGTCACCCCGACAACGGCGACGACTACCGGGACCGCGAGCGGGACCAGCAGCGGCGGTAAGGCCGGAGACGTGTTGCCTCCTCCTCCTCCTCCTCCTCCTCCTCCTCCTCCTCCTTCGAGTGCGCCTTCGAGCGGAAACTGTGGCGGCGGCGGTGCCAGCGCCGTCGTTGCCGCTTCCGGTTTCACGTTGCCGTTACCACTCCCGCAACAGCAGCAGCAGCATCAGCCGTTCTCTCCGTTGTCGGCCACTTGGAACGGCACCGGGTCGGGGAGATGGAGCCCCGCCGAGATCAGCTCCGTGCTGGGCGTTATTCCAGTCGGAGACCACGCCATGGAGGCAGGAGCGGCAGCGGGCGAGAAGACGGCACTGGGGCAACAATCGCCGCCGGCACGGCAGCCCGTCCGTGTTTCCAAGCCCGCCACCACACCCCAAGCCGCGTCCTGTCTCCCCGCCTGCTCCGAGGATGCGATCTCCACCTCCCGCAGAAAGTCGGACCCCGCGCCTGCGGTGCCCCCTCTGTCTTCTCCACCACGCGGGGGCGTTGTTGTTGTTGCTGGGAAACCGGTGGCGGAAACGACGGCGGAGGTTAAGGGTAAGGCTGGAGGAGGCCACGGTGGCGGTAGCACCACCAGCAGTGCCGGTACCGAGGGAGGGGCAGGCACGGCCAGAGGAGGGGATACTGATGCGGCCAAGCTCTCCAGTGCTACAAGCAAATCCAGCAGCAGCAGCACCACCACCACCACCGGCACCAGCAGCGGCAGCAAGATCAGCACCGCCGGCGGCGCCAGCAGCACCGGCAGCACCAGCAATCGCAGCAGCGCCGGTGCCAGACCTCCTCCGCTACCACCGCGACCCGCATTGCCGCCGCCCTTGCCCCCGCGCCCGGGAGAAGGTAGCGTCGGCGTACCGACCGCCGCGGGCGCGGCTACACCAGCGGCGGCGCCAGCGGCGGCGACTCCTGTAGCGGGTGAAGCGGAGCAGAAAAACAACAAGCCGCCGCCACCGGCACACCGCTACAATGGGACGGGGCAGGCCCACCGCCGCTCGTCGGAGGGCTCCTACAATAGGCGGCCGAGATCGCCCCAGCGGGAAGCGGCGGCGGCGGTGGCGGCGGCGGTGACTAGTGGAGGCATTTGCGGGGCCGGGGGGCGTCTCTCGGCGTTCGCGACGGCGTCTACGGTACCGTTGTCGACGAGAGGCGGGGTAGGGGCGGCGGCCGGGGCGGCCGGGGCGGGGGCGGGGGAAGGCGGTAAAGTTTCCAGGGATCGGGCCTGCGTGCGGGTGACGGTGACAACGGAGATGAGCTACAAGGTGATAAATGAAACAATGTTTTGTTGAGCTCGATAGCCGGAAGAGGCGGAGAGAGTGGCACCGTTTCCAAGCTTGATTGCTCCGCAACCAGGGGGGGGGGCGGAAAGAGACCGCTGCGTTGACGGAAAGCCCTCGACGAGATGTTTTGTTTCGAAAAACCTCCATTTTTCTCGTGGATTGATCGAGCTTTTGGAAATCGGTCTAGGGGAGGGGCCCCATCTCCCCCTCTTACTGGATGTTATTTTTTTTTTGTCTCTTCCCGGGGGTGGGGGTGGTGGTTCGGGGAGGCCGAGCCCATGAGAAGGGGCTGCTAAGCGTC